TTTTACACCTTAAGTACATTTTGTATCCAGGTTTTCTAAAGCCCAACAGCTATGAGAAAATAGGACTTGGATTTTGGGGATGGAAAAGGAGCGATGTTTTGGCCATCATGTAAGTTTAGTCATGTTTATAAGGTGCTGGCAGGGCCATCATGTAAGTTTAGTCATGTTTATAAGGTGCTGGCAGCCAGTGAGAGCCCACAGGTGAAATCAGAAGGGCAAGAGCAGACAAATATGCAAAGAGAGCAGAGAGAAAGTGAACAGAAGGTAAGAGCAGGATAGTGAGGGAGGTTGAAAATACTGTTTTGCTGTGGAAAAGGTCTTGGAAGGTGATAGTAGAAGTTTTAACATAGGAAATCTGAAGGTTCTGGTGTGCATCCTGGAGAAAGAAGAGTTTGTAATTTGGTATGTCTCTCTAGAACAGAAACTTCTGAGACAACAGGTGTGTGAAACTGAAATACTGAGGCGAGAGGTGAAGGTTCAGGCTTTTCATGCAGAGGACGTGGATCCCTGGATTTGAGAAGGATAGTGGTTGTATTGAATGGCCTTGGTTTGGGGAAGGAACTGGATATTTTGGGAACTTGAGTTTCAGTGGAGAGCTTTAGGCTGAGTTAGAGCTTGGGGCACAAGATGAGAAGTTAATGGGACATGCCTGCAGTCATTCACACAGGATAACTGCTATTCTCTAATAAACCTCTCTGGCAATATATTATCTTTCTTTGAAATACAAATCTCACAGCTCATCTTAACTAGAAAACCTTGCAATTTAGCTATTATGTTTTCATAACCAGAATATAATGCCTCTTGATGTGTGTATGTGAGAAAGCTGGCATTTATGCAAGAAGTTTGGGATGATACCTCATTTGTGAAAGCGTGAAAGAACAAGAAGTTGGAGAAATGCAGGTGCTTCATCAGACAAAGACCCTCTTGCCAGGCACCTAAAAAGAAAAAAAGACCCAACTAGAAGATGGAAAATACAGTGTAAAAGAGCACGTAGCAAGCCAGATTGAGACCTTCTTGGAATGCCACGGTGGTCTGTGTAGGTCAGAACATTCATATGTGATTTGGGAAAGTGATACATATACAGCTGTTGAAATTTATAGTGATATTAAATTATTCACTTCATTGGAGATAGTAAATATGAACTTGAAGCTAACAGTTCTCTTGATCAGTGTCCTGGAGGAGGCAACAGAATACATTTTCATCAGTCTTGCAGAGAACAGGAAAGTTAAAGACAGATTGATAGACTCAGCACAGGGCTACAATTCAGATACCTAGACAAGCTGTAGAAATGTTCTGGAAGGACTCTGAAATTCAACAATGACAAATGCTAAGACCTGCACCTGGGAAGAAAGAGCCCCAGCAATGAGACAGGTTGGGCACTGAAAGCCTGGGGACAGATCTCTGGAAAGAGCCTAGGCATCCTGATGGAGAGCAAGCTGTACATGAGCTGGAAGTGTGCCCTGGCAGCAAAGAAGGGCAGCAGCATCCTGGGCTTTGTGAAGAGGAATATGATGTATGAAAAACTGTAGATGAAGCTTTTATCCCCTACTGCTCAACACACCGCATCTAAATCAGTTTTGCCTTCCTCTCCTGTACAGGGAAGATGGCAATAGACTGGAGCAGGTTAAGCAAAGCAACCCAGGTTTAGTCAGGATGCTCAGAGGCCTGGAGAACAGAGACCCAGAAAGAAAGGCTGAGGGAACTAACTTCTTCATTCTGGGGAAGGGTAGGTTTTGGGGAGGATCTCCAGTCAACCTTGTCATACCTTTAAGGAGACCACCAAGAGGAAAGACCAGCTGTTTGCAGTGGTGCATGGCAAGAGAATGAACATTAAGAGATATGGAAAGTCCAGTTTGCAAGTAAGAAAAACACTTTTCATTATGAGGACAGTCAGGTGATGGAGCAGGTGCCCATAGAGGCACTATGCACCTCTGTAATGCATAGTATTCACTGTGATGTGCTGTGAATTAGCTATTGCCATTTGAAAATAAGACATTTAGATAATACTGGGATTAATCTTCTGAAAACATTTCATGCACAGCTACAGTAAAAAGGTAAGCAGGAATTATTAAAATCATAACAAAATGGAAACTATTATGTCATTGCCTAGGTTTTTGGTGATCCCACAACTGAAATTTTACATATAATTTGAGATTACATCATCTCAGAGAAGGATAAAGCAGGGTGAAGCATAATGTGGAAAGGATAGTCTGAAGTAAAGAAGCGTTTTCCATACAAAGGAAATTCAAAAGTTCTTTTGTTTAGAAAGCATATTAGAGAAGACAGATGCAAGAGGTCTGTAAAATTATGAATGGCATAAAGATGTTTTAGGAAAGATTATTCATTGTCTCTCAGAGACATTCTTGCATTAGCAATTATGTCAGCCTAATAGAGCACAAAAATTGATGCTGTGAGGTCAGATATCTATATTTGCATGTGAGGCAACTCGCAACCCCAAGGGCTAGATGCCCATTAGTGGTTGAAGCATTTTACTGGAACACTTCTTAGCTCTTAGAGCTCATCTTCTGTTTCTAGTTTTACCTGAAAGGAAAACAATTTATTTCCTCCAATACTCCAAGGGACACAAAGTGCAGTAAATGAAGTCAATGTGAGATCTTCAAAATCATGCAGAGACACATGTAATGCTGGTTTAACACATTTTTCTGAAAACAGCTTCCAAAGATCTAGTGCACTGAGCTGCCAGGTGCTGCAACGGTACATATGGGAAGGTCTCAGTCTGTACTTGCATTTTTTCTCACAGTCTTTCAATAGCTCTATCTTATCTGCTGCAGAAAGAAGAGACTGTGCCAAAATGATGTACCTTGGTATATCTGATAACCTCAGAACACTTGTTCATATGTAATTTAATTTTACATGAGCACTTACAATGTAAATGGCTGTTGTAGCTTGCATATTATTCATTTGAGAACATTTCTAGAGTAAAATTTTCTATCTGATACCTTATATTTTCAAGTTTAAAAAAAAAAGTAGGTCCATTTATAAAATTAGGAGAATATTTTAATTTTTTGTAGTTTCATTCTGTATTTTGCTAGTACTTCAACAGAAGGTTGCAAAGTACAACAGATGTGCCTACTGATGCTGTAGTGAAAATCCTTTTTGGTTTGCATGCTTTGGTGCATATAAAAGTGATTTGCACACAACATTGTTTTTGTTATCTAGTAACAGGTTCCCACTAACAGTCTGCCAGACTCTGCTGGCACTGTGCATACATATTCATGTGATTTGAATAGAAGTTCTTGTTCAGAGTATAGCAACGCAGACATGTGCAAGAAAATTAAATAAAATACATTTTTTCAAAAGTATATGTCTGTGAAGAAATTATTTGAGGACTGTATTATTTGAGGATTAAAATCATATATGATAGGGTTTTTTTCCAAGAAGTAGAAAATACATTAGAAGGCATTTGATGCTCCCTTAGGTCTTCTGTTTCATAATTTGAACCCCTACTCCACGTTGCTGTTCGGTTTTTGAGGAACTCTACAGCTCTCAGCTTTTATCTGCAGATGGCTAAGAAACATGGTTTATTTTCACTCTAGCTGGAAACAGAGACATATGAAGGCATTTTTCTTGTCAGAATTTATTAAAGAATACAGAAATCATAAAAATTGCTCATTACATGAACACAGAGCAAAAATCCAGGGTACAGCTGTCCTTTATCAGGCTGGGACAGATAGTCTGCCTTTGCACCACAGCTCCCAGACTCTTTTTTTGTGCCACACCATACTGTCTGACACAGCTGCACAGACTTGTCTCTAACCTCATGTCTCGACATAGGGAAGAACTGTGCTTCTGCAATACTTCTCTTGCTACATGGAGAAGTCTGGGGAACAATGAAGAGGACAGACATTTTGGCAGGACACTGCACTCAGGCCATCTTGGAGTCACAGGATTTTTACTTCCTTCTTTGCATCTGCCTATATGTTTTTGCAATGTTATCAGCATACAAACAGTGATTTCAAAATTGAACTTTAACCTGGTCTGCGTTATATTAAACATAATAAACATCATATTGAAGTAAGCACAATTTATTTAGAAGACAGTTTTGAAAAAGAATCTCAGATTCTAGAAATAGGAATTCAAATGTGTTTCAGTTGTTGAACTATGTATGTGCAAATACAGATGTATTTTGATTACTGAAGAATTCAGATGAGTAGACTTAAGGAACTCCGCTTAATTACTGAAGAGACTGATTATAGTATATGGAGCCTTTCACTTCTAGATCACTGAGTCAAACTCAGTGGAAGAAGGCACCAAATGAGAGATGGTCATAGATCTGGATAACATAAGCAGATAGCATTACTTTATAATGGTGGAGAATTCCAAATATAAACAAACAAACATATTATCTTCTAGACATGGGACACAGTGTTACTTTTTAAGTCTTAGAAAATCAATTCCACAGATAGCTTCTTGTCCGACAAAGTGATGAAACTTAGCAGTGAGGTGTGAGATTTCCTGCTTCTATTTGTCTTTTTGATAACTGGAGGAAGGAGTGTTAACTTTTTTTTTGCTAGTCAATCTGGTTCCTTTTAAAAAGATTTTTATTCCTAGTCTGTTTTTCAGCAGGTTTTCGGAGGCGCTCAAATACTGTAACAAGGAGGCATTTCCCACATGCTGCTCACAGGATGGACTATATGGACTTCGAGGATGATAGCCGTGGATGGCGTTTTGATATGGACATGGTGATCATTTACATTTATTCAGTCAACTGGATAATAGGATTTATTGTTTTCTGTTTCCTTTGTTATTTCTTTTTCCCTCTATAGACTGTAGAAATAACAGTTAAGGAAATGACAGTCATGTGAACCAAAAAATTGTGAATAGAAAAATACTGAAAAAGGTAAAATGTTTGATACTGCATTTTTATAATTCAGAATTGGAATAGACTGCATCAAGCATGCTGTGAAGCTGTTTGATACTTCTGCTATATGTGACAAAGTACTTGAGTTTTGTTACAAATGTAATGTGAAATCCACATCATACTTCATTCAGTGGGAGTTTTGCCTTCAGGGGATTTTGATGGAAAAAGAATTTACCCCTAATTTATAAAATGATTACTCTGTAGAAGTACTCCCAGTTTTTAGGGGAGGTCTGTGTACTACAAATGACTACTGTCATCTATAGAGTCAATTAGGGGTTTGACTGTGTTGACACACTTCCCTCTCATTGGTGCTTCAATTCCTAATACATAAAACCACTAAAGATTCTTCCCATTTTTACTCAGATCTTTTGGGAGCAGGAGCAGTGCTGTACCATGCATTATATAGACATCCATCAGAGCTGTTTCAGTGGCATGATCAAAATCCTGGGAAATTTTGACAATTGATAGATCTGTTAGAATTCCGCTGTGGATATTTTGAGCCTGTTAACCATAAAGAAAAATTATACTGCAATGTGTTGCCAGTTCATCTTCTCAGCTAATAGCAATTAGAAGGAATCAACTAACAACCACAAGTTCTGCACACCAAGAGTACCATTTTTGTGCAGATTCCCAGTGTAGTACTGTACCTTTTTTACCCATTCAAATGAGTGTTTTCGTGTCCAGCAAGACAGCTAATGGAGGGCAAGCAGCCTGCTGGCTATGACCCAAATAAATACTGGAGACAGAAGCATTCTGCTGTGTAAGAAATCAGTATAATTTGTAAATTGCTGTAATAGTTGAGGATACTTTTAAATGTGGGTTCTCCAGGACTTTATGTCTCACAGGAGAGTACATAGGAGGGCACAGTATTTATTTGCATCTTTCTTGTTAAACTAATCTAAAGCACTTTATAGTTAATTTATATATAGATTGATGAGTTAATGTACCAAACTGCAGCCAGTTCAACAATCATTTGATACTTGCTGCATTACACAGTATTTTCAAGTGAAAGTGAAAGAGCATCTACTAAATTATAGTAAAAGATACTAGAAATGAATGTGGGAATCAGGTGCTGAAGAATGGCACAAGGTAGTTTAGGGCTTTACTTTTCAGGAAGGTACAAGGAAGTTTTTATTTCTAGTGGCATGACTTTTCAAAGTACACTGTACTTTCATCTAGAAAAGCATGTGAGTGTAGGTATATTGTCCCTTTAGTATCAGAATTTGTGTGGGAGATCTGTGGTTTTTCAGTAGGTGGTGTACTCCCTGGTACTGGTGTACTCTGTTCTAGCAGAGAACAAGGAAAAATGTGTTGTGGAAGGTGCCATCTGCCAAATGTGATGGAATGAAATCAGAGTTTTATTAAGCATGAGCTTGTATTCCTTTACTGGAGCAGCTCCAGCATGGGCAGCCTCTTACAAAGCCCCTTATAAAGGGATCAGGACCAGAAACTTTCATGTAATCTGAAAACCAGCAGTAAATCAACTATAATATTTAGTTTTCTTACAGGCTGTACAAAATGATCTTTTCAAGAACATATGAATAGAATTAAATCTTACAAGTATAACTATACTGATTAGACTAAATAATCTTTTTCATCTTTTTTAATATATGCAAATTTAAAGAGATGTAAGAACTGAAATTCACCATCACCACATAGTCATGATTTTGACAAAAATGCTTATTTGTAATAATAATAATCCACTTAGTTACTTCATCTCTGCCTAAGAGTGACTGGCTGTTATTAGTAGCATTAAGCATAATGTTTTAAAAGCTTTAAGGCTGTAATAAAACATTTGGTGGAAATCTTTTATAAGCTAGGGGGTGTAAGTCATAGGCTCCTGTTTGGCTACATGCAGATGTGTGGGTGTGTATGCTAAAATATTATCCGTAACTTTAAACAGTTCTTTCATATGTGCCAGGATTGGCATTCTAACTGCAATTTTTTTTTTTGCCTCTCTAAACTTACAAAATTACTGCTCATATGTCAGATAAAAGGTTATTTAAAATTTTTTAACCAGGATGTCTGATTAAGCAATATCCTTCAGTAAATATTCAAAAATATATTGAGACATAAGAAATGTAATATAGATGGTAACTGGTTATATAAAAAAAAGTTACATCATTTTTAATAGCATGTTACCACAGTTTTATTTGAAAAAGGACCACAAAGAAGAGTAAAAATCCAATCTAATATTGGCCTCTTTTGTATATTTTTGACAAGAATTGATGACTGAGAGTGGCTACATTTTTCTGGTTAGTAGGTCTCACAATTTTGCTGGACATTTCTAATTGTTTAACTCTACCTTTCTTCAAGGCCTAAACAATAAACTGTTTCTTGAGCAATATTGTTTTCCTTTATATGGGCGGTAATTAATTCCTGAGAAAGATGATTTTTAAATTATTAAAAATGTACATAATGAAGACTACTCCAACTCTGAGATATCCTCCATAGGAAAACACCTAAAAGGTATAGAGTGGAGATGGACATTTTTCGTCGTATACTGGATTTTTTTGAGATACATACTTTCGTAAAAATGCAGTAACAATTCAAAGGCTCAAATTTGTTTTTCCTTGAAGTCCGCTGTAAAATGTTGTTAATATCTCTTGGAGAAAGAGCAGGTTCTTTATAGGGAATTTTCTGGTTAAATTGATCCTGATCGGCAAGCTTGTATTTCTTAACTACCATAGTATTAAAATGTCTACAATAAAATTTGGTTTGTTTTTAATATTTTGCAGTCATTTCACTAGATTTTACTTGGTGGAATTAATTTTTTTCATTCATTGTCTTTTTTGATACATCTTTTTCTTTTCTTCTTGGGGTGCAGCAAAAGTTTGCTGAATTTTTCACTACTGGGATTAACTCTTTTTATATTAGCAGCCTTTTATTTGTTTCAGTTCTTTACAGGTAGCTTTTGTCAGAAATCATCTGGGGACATGGTCTGGATTTTAACACATTCTGATAATGAAGAATTCTCAGTACTGGTGCTGTTAGTCAAAACCATTTAATTGTTGAAGACAGCAGAAATCCAGGACAAGACTTAGGTTTCACTTTTACAGGCAAAGGAACTTCATGCCTACACAGAAGTGTGTGAGTTTTTTTGTCCAGCAGTGGATATGTTTCTAGCCACCCTACCTGCCAATGGTTCAGTCATCTTGCTTCTCTCATAAGACAGTTCTAAAATAAAAAAATCCCAAACAATATTGCTGTTCAGGGAGCAGCTCTATGAAGCACAATGGAGACTTTCATGGCATGTGCCTGCCTACAGAAGCTCAGATCCAAGTCAAGCTTTTCCCAGTATCCTACGTACATGCCTCATGTTTTTATCACATGTCAACAACAGCCTCAGTTACTGAGATGGAAAATAGGGAAGAACCAGAGTTTAGGTGTGTTTTGTCATTTTTAGAGAAAATTATTGTTGATAGCATGAAAGTCTGGGAGTAAGATTAGCTATTGTAGCTGTCAGCTGACAACTGCCTTCATGGTGTGTGGTGTTGCTTTTGTGCATGTGTTTTCAGCATCTCTTGTTCTTTGCAATCTTGACAACATTATAGCTATGAGATGCACACTCTCTTCCAGGGAATTCCAGAATATTTCACAGATGAATAGAAAAGAAAGGTAGGACATCAAGAGCATCTGCTGGTGTTCAGCCCCATATCCAGGCAGAGGCTGTGAGGAAGGATGCTTTGAATTGCTCAGGATCTGGAGCAAGACACCAAGCTATCCTTAGAGATAATTTTATTTAGCAGAAAATTCCAAGGCAGTAATAGTATAAGGATTTAAATATCACAGTTTTCTGTCTCAAACACAATTACCACAGAAAGACATTGCCATGAGATAAGCACAGAATGCAGTGATGGGATGGCCTAACTCCAAGCCTGCAAGATTTAGCTAGCACATCCTGGGTAATCCAGACAAAAATTCATACTGTGACGAAGTGTTTAAAGAAGCTGCTGCTTATATGCTTATCACTGGTCAAACAGAGATCCTGATCAGCAGGTTATAGGACAGCTGGCATCTTCAGCCACCAGAGCTCCCCTCCCTCAAATATGCCACTGTGGGTATGTGAAACTTGGACTGTGAATTAAGACACCATGCAGAATACTTGAGACAAGATAAAGGTGGTACTATTGTCTGAGTGTTATCTCAGGCCTAGGGGGAGGTAAATAAAGCTGAGGAAGAGAAATGTATTAGTGATAATGGCTGAATTTATGGGCCATAAGGAAAGCCAACTCACCAACTCTGCTGAAGTCAGCTCAGGGTGGGTAGAAGGTAATTCTGGCAGGCAGAGATTGAACTCACAACCCAGAGGAAGGCTGAGCATAGGACTAAGTACCATTAGAAGTGAGGGAATCATTTAACCAATAGAATAAAAGAACTGTGTAGCCAGTGACCATTAATTCCTTGCTTACAAAAATGTGTAAATAGTGAAAAGCTTTGAATGACTTCAGAACCCCTACAACCAAAAACCCCTGGGTAAAGAAGGACAAAAGGACACTGTTGGATCCATGGATGATGACTGTCTTCTGCTCTGTCTCTCTCTCTTTCTTCTCACTTGCTCTCTCCCTCTCTTTTTCACTGACATTTTATTTTTAAATAAAATCCATACAATTGACTTTGGCATATGGTCTCATTTGCACCTTAGTTCAGGCCAAGGCTTCTCTCAGTAATAGGATCCTTAACAGACTGTGAGGTGGATTTAAAACTGGCTGAAAAGCCAAGCTCACAGTGCTGTGAATCGTGGCACAACGTCTGCCTGAAGGCACGTAGTTAGTGGTATATCCCAGAGAAAAAACCTGAGTCCTATCCTGTTCATCATCTTCATTAATGACCTAGATGTTGGGGCAGAGTATACCCTCAGTAAGCTGCAGAGGACAAAATAGAAAGAAGTGGATAATACTCCAGAGGGTTATACCAGTGGATAATACAGCAGATGCTGCTGTCCTGTGGACCTTTGGCTGGAGAAATGGACTGACAGGAACATCATGCTGTTCAACAAGAGTAGTCTTGCACCTGGGAAAAGCCCCTCCATGCCTCAATACATGCAAGAGGTCACCCAGCTGGAAAGCAGCTCTACTGAAGAGAACCTGGCGGTCCTGGTGAACTGCAAATTGAATATGAGCCAGAAGTCCTTCCTTGTGTCAAGAAGGCCAATGGTGTCCTCAGCTGCATTAGGCAGAGTGTGGCCAGCAAGTCACAGAAGATGATCCTGCTTCAGCACTGATGAGGCTGTCTCTGGGGTGCTGTGTCCAGTTCTGGGCTGCCCTGTACAAAAGAGATAGAGAGTTATTGCTGAGATGTCAGCAAAGGACCACTAAGATGATTAAAGGAATGAAGTCTCTCTCATATGACTAATTCTGTGAAATCATCTCACAAGAATTGACTGGTTGAAGACTAGAATAAATGAATTCCTCAATAACGGGTAAATAAAACAAAAATGTCAGAGGAGAACATCATGTTTTCCCTTCATAACAAAAGGCAGTACAATGCTGGAAAAACTTAGCCCACGTTTTTGTCCATTTCTTTTCTTTTCTGTACATATCTGTATAGAATAATTAATTATAATTTTCTTTTCTTTCACTGTTGTCTTGAGTCAATACAACAAGTCTCTCTTTGGTAACAAGTTCAATCTTTAAGAGGTTATTTTTCTTCCTACTTATTGAAATCTGTGGTTATTGCAGTTGTCTGCAGTACTCAGAAGAGTACTAAGGAAAAAATCACAGAAGGTTTAGTAATATTATTTCAGTATTAGTCATCTTGCTGTCAGAAATCAATATTCCAACTTTATATGTAAACTTATTATTTAAATGTTAAAGTGTAAAATCTAATTTTTACAGGTAAGGGTTTGAATTCAAAAAATTTTGGCTGCCTCAATTTGTCATTCCCAACATGAGACCTTCCTTCCACAGTGACCTGATGCAGAACTGAAGATCACATTTCTCCAAAATGGGTTGTTTAGGATTTATTACGTTGGGATCCAAAGCCTTAAATATATGTATTTATGATGGACTTCAGCAGTGATATAGATCCCAGCAGAATCATCAGAGTCATCACTGTAAAATCTTGTTTCTCATATACAACTGTATTTGTGTCTTACAAACTTTTTCTATTACTGTAAAACATATTATGATGTCATTTCTGGAGTTTTTGGAATTTCTTATGAAAACAAGTTCAAATTTTATATTTATTTACATTTGATTATTCTATGACTGAAACTAAACTAAACCTCCAGAGTCTTAAATATATTAGGATTTCTTTGTTGCTGTGATATAATCCTGGAAAATAAATACTGTCACTATTAGCTTAATAAAATTACTTAATTAAAAATAACTTAATTATTATTTCATTTTCTACCAAACATCTTCTTTGGTTGAAATATTTCACAGATGTCTGATAAGGCACTAATGTAGACCTATCTGTAAGGTCTTTCAAATTACTTTGCACCATTACACTCTGGAAGCTTAACCATAAATTCTAATAATGTATAATTGAGGACATTTAACTTTTCACTGCATCATATTTTTACAGGTTTTTTATTGTTAAAAAAAAGTTCCTAAAAGAAGACCGAGTGTATGTATAATCCCATATCTTCGTTTCACTAAAATTATTTTATTTAAGACAAATCCTACATGATAAACTTCATCTCTGATGAGCACTGCAGAAAATGTACTGAATGAGCTGACTAATTTGATCAGCAGAACACTTCTGGACAAATTATCAGACTGACACTGGATAGAAAAAAAAGCTCAGGGCTTGTTTCTGAAGGAAAGAATCTCATCAGGGGCGAGTTGTGTAGGAGACCGAATGGATTTCTTTGTCCTTTGAGTGCCGTGCAGGGCGCACTCTAGTCTCCTCTGGCACTTTGGGGTCCTCAATTGAGCAGGTGTCCTCAGGAGTTATACAGACCATCTGATGGCACAACTCGGTTTTCCTTTTCTGCTTCATTAGAAGATTCCCCAATATTTCCAGGTTTCTTAAGGTTCACCTATGACTGCTGGAATCCATCCAAAGAAAGCAAGATGATGTGCTGTTATTTTTCATTGCTTTTTGCAATAGAAGAGCAGCTCGGGCTGCACTTCTGTTTCAATCAGTTGGTTTTGCTAAGGCATGACATACTCCTCTCCCAAAATTCTGAACTTATACCCAGGTGGGAATCTGTAGCCTGACTTATTCTACAGCGTTTAATGAAAGTTGTGGCATATATAAATGGAAGGAAAATATATATGCATGACAAAGAGGAACAAAACACCTTGTTGTACTAGATACAAATGAAACCTCGAGATCAATTCAAAGTAACTTCTGTGTCCCTGTAAAAAAGATGCCAGAAGCCAGCCAGGTTGATTCATGTGAGAAAGTAACTGTCAAGGTGTAAAATAGCAGATAAGCAAAGGACAGCAAAGCAACTGCTTTTGGGAGGTACTAGATAGCAGTACTGGGTACTGGATGAATGCCTTTCAGCCTGGCTTACTAAAAGCAAAAGGAGTGTTAACAGCACAAGATTATTTTACTGACCACTGCCTAGGAAACAACTGACTGTTCCCTCAGTTCTGTTTGAGGCTGGTAGGAACAGAAGAGTGGCTTATGAACCTGTTCGCTCATTGTCTCTGTGAAGATGAAATCACTCAAGGTCTTGGCTCAGCCTGCCTACACCTGATCTTTATAAGGGCACTTTACACATTGGTCCTTGGTCAGGAAAGTATGCTGCTTCATTCAGGATTGTTCATGATATATGGAAATGTTACTGAAAAGGCCCTGGGATTGTTTGGAATTTAAAATATATCTGTTAGCACTTCCTGTAATATTGTAGCAGCAGTCACTGTCCTGTGTGCACTTACCTAACTAAACTAAACCTAAATTTATTAGTTTAAAAAATATTCTGGACCTCAATGCTACAAATACCTCTCTAGTACTCAACAGCAATCCTGCCTTCCCTCGGCCACATTTTCTATTGTCAACTCTACCTTACAAAATATGGAAAAACTCCTTCAGCTTCATGGCCTTGACATCTCAATACTAATTTGCAAATGAAATAAATATGCTCCCAAGATTGCTAGATTAATGTTACATGAGTGATACAAACCATTATGCTACTGTATTAATGATAGCTTATTTAAATATGCACTTTAGTTTTAAGATAAGGAAAACTGCAGTAATTATATTCTGACTTTTAAGTAGATACCATTTTAACTTGTTAATAATCT